ACACACACACACACACACACACACACACACACACACACACACACACACACACATTATTCTATCTCTTTGTGAGGACTATGACTGTCCACACAACATTGGTCTAATGTCAGGGGTCGGTCCTGACAACGTGATCAAGACATGTGTGCACACACACACACACTCACATTTACTGCGTTGGTCTTCTTCACCTCTAAAACTGATTTTAAATGGTCAAAGAGTAAAAAAATAAAGTTATATAATAAATGTTTGGGTATGTGTTGTTTTTAAAGCTCTCAGACATTCTTACGTTCAGAGAACATCAGGTTTAGAAATGATCGGAGCATGTTGAGATGTAAAAGCTGTGAGACAAATGAACAGCTTGTGTTTGATGGAGGGAATTAGGTTCAGTTTTCTTTGTAGTCCTCCTGGTTTCTGTTACGATAATTTAATATTATTCCTTCCGCTGATTAAATAAATATGCCACACAGGAAGGAGTAGATATTTTTCTTAACCTCAGGTTATTGCAAGATGGAGCAGCTTTGAAAAAAAAATAAAATATCAAGCATCAAGGTGTTTACATGGCGCTTTGTCTCCAAATCTGCCCAAAGAGAGCATAAAAAAGTGTCTTTTTATAATGTTATCAGAGGCGCTGCCTACCAGTTTAAGCCTTGAGTTTATCAGGTGAAAGCTCCTTGCTCCTGCAGCACTCTGCCCAGACTAAACAACTCAGCACGCACACATGTTTCATATACATTTGACATTAATAAGTAAAGAACATCTGTGACCTTTCACATCTTCCATCAACTTTCCTCCTTTAAATCCTTCAGAGTTCTGCTGGATCTCCACGGTACCACCATTCACTGGACTTCAACCATGTTCTTAAACAAAGTTGGGCTTTGTTTTCTGTCAAAAGCTGTTTTTATACTAAATAAACCACTGAACATTATTTATCATTATATCTGAAATATATATCATTGAGACTAAAATTAATAAAAAGACTCAAAACAAACTTAACACTAAAAACTTTACTTTGTGATATATTTTGAAATAATTTTAGTCCCTGTTTAGTACTTAAAATATGTGTGTGTGTGTGTGTGTGTGGGGGGGGGGGGGGGGTCTAGCTGTCTTCTGAAGAGGAGGATTTTAATTAGAAACTAAAAATATATATATTGTGATGAATGTTGAAAAAGAAGGGTGGCACGATGGCTCAGTTGCCAAATCACAACAGAAGTTGTCTCGGGGCACTGGACAGAATCAACCTTTATTTAGACAGGTAAATCCCATTGAGCCTCGAGGACTCATTTACAAGAGAGACCTGATTTCAACAAAGAATGATGACAACAATGGACAACAGCAACAACAATAAGCAGTTATAAAAACTCATACTAGTTTTTTTTTTTTTTTTTTTTTTTTAACAAATAGGATGGCTAAAAGGAAAAAGGTAACAAAACAAAAAAAAAAAAACAGCTAGATTCCAAGACAAATGTATAAAACTAAAAACAGGAACATGTCAGCATTGGACCCTGCCAGGTGTCCAACAGATTCTTAAAGCCACTTAGAGAGGTCAAGGTCGAGAGCTTCAAATCTTTTTGTAAGATATTCCAGGAAACAGGAGCGGAGTAGGAGAAGGCCCTTTTGCCTAGTTCAGTCCTCACTGAGGGAACACTGCAGGTAATAATGTCCTGAGAGCGCACTCCGTAGCTGCACTCACGCAGAGACATGTAGGAGGAGATGTATGAAGGCAGCAGACCAAGAAGTGATTTAAAGATGAAAATGTACCAGTGAGAGAGTCTGCGTGAAGTTAATGATGTCCAGTTAACCAGTGAATACAGGGTGCAGTGGTGGGTACGATAATCATAGCCAGTTATGAATCTTAGTGCACCATGATAGACAGCATCCAACATCTGCAGGGTGCTTGTAGGAGCGTTCATGTAAATAATATCACCAAAATCAATTGAGGGAAGGAAAGTCACAGATACAAGGCGTTTTCTAGCATTCAGGGTTAGACAGGATTTGTTTCTGAAAAAGAAACCCAGTTTAACTTTCAGTTTCTTTACCAAGTTTTCCACATGGAGCTTAAAAGAAAGATGTGAGTCGACCAAGATACCCAAATATTTATAGGAATCAACAAACTCAATGGGGACACCATTTGAGGATAAAATCGGAGGAAGAACTGCTGGGACCAACTTCCTATTTGAAAAAAGCATCCCTTTGGTTTTTTCGGCATTTAGGACACATTAGAAACATTCACACACATTATATCACATTAGAAACATTCACACACATTATAAAAGACAATTAATAAAAGTTCTCTATCTAAGGAAGCAGCAGATTGTGTTGAATCTTCACTTTATCACAGTCTCTCATTCTGAGCAAGCACAAAGGAGACAGTGGAAAGGAAAAACTCCCTTTAACAGGAAGAAACCTCCAGAAGAACCAGGCTCAGGACGAGCGGCCATCTGCTTTGACCAGCTGGATATGAGAGGACAGGAAGGAGAAACAGAAAAAACAGAATGGCAGGTCCAGGTGAACTTTCTATAGGAGGAAAGACAAAAAAAACATGTTAAGATAGAAATAATTACAAATACAAACAGGTAGTGTAGAGCAAATAAAGACAGCAGCAGAGTGAGGAAATGTGGTCAATTTGTCCTCCAGCAGTCTGTGCCTATAGCAGCATAACTAAGGGATAGCTCAGTAAACTCCAAGCCAACACTAACTATAGGATTTATCAAAAAGGAAAGACTTAAGCCTAATCTTAAAACTGGACCATGTGTCAGCCTCACGGACAGAAACTGGAAGTTGTTTCCACAAGAGAGGAGCCTGATAACTGAAAGATCTGTCTCCCATTCTGCTTTGGGAAACTACCATGGAGAAGGTTGCCTAATTGAATCCCGGCTGGGAATCTTTCCGGGAGGAGTTAATACGTTCTCTCCATGCTGTGTGGGATTTCTCTGGGTACTCCATTTTCCTCCCGCAGACCAAAAGCATGCATGTTAAACTGATTGGTAATTGTCCCTAGGTGTGAGTGAGAGAGTGAATGGTTGTTTGTCTCGTTTGTCTCTACGTGTCCCTGTGATGGATTGGACACCTGTCCAGGTGTCCATGTGATGGACTGGAGACCTGTCCAGGGTGTCCCCCGCCTTTCACACAGTGACTGCTGGTTATGGGCATCAGTGACCCCCGCAGCCCGAAAAGGAAGAAGCGGGTAAAGATAATGGATGGTTGGTGACATAAAGGAACGTTAAGTGAAACAGCGATGGGACACTCAAAACAGACTGTGGAACAGATCATAGAACAGTTTGTGGAACAAAATGTTCTTCAAGGCTTCAGTACTACCAGGAAAATTGTTTGGATTTAGCCGTCACTACTAGAAATAAATCACACAAAAGGTGTGAAAAGATATGAAACGGCTCATCCTTGCTTCACTTTCTCCACCACAGAACCTCAGACTTCAACAGAGCTGATGATGATGCTTTATTTGATTGAGCACTGAGTGGAGCAGCTCATCTGTCTTCTCTCTGAGGAGGTTCTTTAACTCTGCAGTGACTGGACCATGTTCTAATGGGTCGGGTTGGTTGTGAAATGAACCTAATCAAGCAAAGTCAACAACAAAAACATTTCAGCTCCGTAGAATCAGTTGGACAACAAAATACTGTATACTGTTTACAGAGAATACTATCATGCACATGTGCAGGTGTGCATGAAGACATTTTCTCTCAGTAATCAGGAGACAATCATACACAGACTCATCTAAGCTCCACTTCAAACGAGGGTCTCACATTCAGATGAGCTGCTGGTCAGAAAAAGCATAATTTACAATTTAAATATTTTTCAAGTGGCCGTGTGATCCTTCCCTTTCATCAGTTACATTTTCTGCTTCATCTATTAAAGCAATTCTCTGTGCTTGTTTGTCCTTTCTGGCGCTTACGAACAGTTTAATCATTTAAATACAGAAGAGGCAGAACTCACTGAAACATGAGAACTGGATGTGTGGATTGAGCCATCAAACATCAGGATTGTCATCAGGTTTGTTGGTTTCTGTCTCTCTGATCATTACTGCTGAACAGCTTGTTCTGTGGAGATGCTTGATGCAGCCTGACCTCGTGCTGAATGAATCACACTGGCTCCATCATGTGTGTGTTTACACCCTCTAAGTGTCTCTTTGATGTGAACATGAATAAATGCTTGTACGGTCGTACTGGGTGATTATAGCTGGGCTTGTTGGGTTGTGTGACGATCCTGTAAAAGAACACGGACGTGAACTGACTCTGCTCATGCAGGATGACCAGCATAATGCACGGATCACATCGGCTATCTGTGAAAACATGGACAGAGGAGGAGAGTGACCGTGCTGACAGCACACTCAGCAGGTACACACATACACACGTTCTTGTATTTATACTTTTTGAGACCTCCAAACAACACCTTCCATTTTAGGACCCCGCTTTCTAGACATGATAGACATGTGAAATGTTACATGTTATTAATAATGTTACTTATAGTTCTGAGCATGAAAAAAGTTTCAATATAATCACTTAAGATTACTGAAAAAAATAAATGTATATGTTTTAAATTAGAACATAATTTTACTGTTCTTAGAGACCCCATCAGAAAAGAGATGCTCCTCACTGCAATGGCAAACTATAGATTTAATATGTAATATATTGTTTACAGGTCTCTTGTGACAACACTAGCTATGTTTACATGGACATAAGAAATTGGATTAAACGGCCATTTGAAGTAAAAATACGTCATATAAATGCCCCATTCGAATTCTTTGTTTATTCAGCTCGATCCGAAAGAATTTGTAATCAGAATGAGACGGGTGGTTTATGCCGATTAATATGAACAGTGTGCATGTAAACACTTAATATGTTTATTTTTTTTCCGATTGTGGAAAACTGACCTGACTGCGCTTTATATGCGACTTATGTCTACCTCACGTATTTCCGCCTGGCTAGATGCTAATAATATTAGCATGTCAGGAAAGCAAAACTGGTTGGTGAGCGACGCAACATTTCTACATACTAGAAACTTTGAAAGAGCTCAAAAGGCTCTGTATTACCTGTAGCTCAATCAGGGAGTGCAGTAACATCTCCATCATCATTAAAACCTGGTGCAGGGCCATTTTGGGTACTCAGGTTTTTTTATGTTCATCACGGAAGTAAACCAGAAGTAGAACTTCTTTGTTTTTTTTTTTTAAAGGAGAGATTATTACTCTGCATATGTCAGTACGTCTATTCTTGCTTCACTATGGTTGTTATGGTGGTGCACAGAAGGTGCAGCGGCTTCTCATGCTCCCAGGATTAAGCCTTATTTTTATTCCTTTGAGGCTGTTTTAGGCACTAGTTCAGTGCTGGATTCGCAGCTCAAGTACAGCTCACCGAGCTGATGGCTTTCAGAGACAGTTCGCTTGAGTTCTGAAATCCACACTCGGCGGACAGCGGCTCCTGAGGTCAATGGCAGCAGTATGGCGCAGCACAGTGCGAGGAGCAACAGTTTTTTCAAGAGGAAGAGGGGGAATCAGGGAGGCTTAACGACAACATGTCGGACTCAGCCTTCCAGATCAACGGGCTTCAGTTATTCTGAGTGGACCGTGACCATCGGTCAGGAAAAACATGGGGGGGAGGACTCTGTGTGTTTGTGAATGAAGGAAGCTGTGGAGACCTGGGCTTGGGAGCTCTGTCCTGAGGAGCTTCTATCACTGTGTGGTGGAGTGTTCTCTGCACCTGCATCACCATGTGGCACGGCAGCTGCACTGCTGCTGAGAGGATGGCTCTGCAGAAGAAGTGTTTCTACCATCTTGGACCTCTACACATCACGATGCAGGGGGAAGGAGCTCCACATCATGAAGGACTCCACTCATCCTGCACACATTCTGTTACAGCCCCCCTCCCCTTAAGCAGGTGGCTGAGGAGCATTCAGAGCAGCTCTCAGATAGATGAACTCAAGCTGCACTTAATTCAGCCTCATCTTACTTTTTTAACTTTATTTATTTACGCGCGCATGTATGCACACATGCGTGTGTGAATACATGTGTGTGTATGTGTGTATATTTATATATAAATATTTATACTCTTTTGTATTTATTTATTTGTTGTTAGTCTTCTTGATCTGGGACCTGAGTCTGAATTTTGTACCACAAACATGCAAATGTGAGCTGGTATGACAATAAAAATTCTTGGATCCTATTCAGAATGAAAGCCTGCTGCTGTAGGGTTTCTGGGGTCTGGTCTTATGTGTCGTGTTTTCCTCATGTTTGCCTGTCACCCTTCAGCATCTCTCTGTGTGTTCCAGCACTGTCACACCTGTGTCAGATTCTAATCACCACAGGTGCCTGTCATTTCAGTGTCTGTATATATTTAGCCCCTTGGTGCTATGTCTTTGTCTTTGGAATGTCCTGTCTAAGGCTTTGTGATTTGTCTTCTTGTGTTCTCCCTACAGTAAGTTAGCTGCCCCATCGGTGTTTTGCTTTGTTTATTTATAAATGTTTTACTTATTTTATTGGAGTCTCTTTCATCTTTTTGCATGTGAGTTCACACATGTCAGTCAGATCATGGTAGAATCCAGAGACCAAAAAGAACCCAGCAGGAAGATTACTCTTTTTGAGTTCCTGGTTCACGAGGCGAATAAGACTGCTCAGTGTGAGAATGAGGAGAGGAAAAGAACTCTGTACCAAGGTACTCGCCTGGTGTTTAAAACTGGGTCCAATGCCTCACCATCTCACCTCTTGTCACCCCTTCACATAGTGGCAGCACTCACAACCCACCTCCTCCCCAACCACCTCCTGCTCTCCTGGAGTGATCTTCAGAGGAAGGGGGGCAACCGGACTCGCTGCAGGAGGAACGGGTGGCATAACTGAGCCGGTTCCATTGAACCCCAGCATGTCTCTCCTCAGATACAGCCCAACCCTCATTGGTCGGAGGACTGACAGACAGAGCAGCTGAGTCCTCATCGTGTGTTTCCCTTTGTGGGGGGAGGACACCACATGCCCCTGCGCACCCCTCACTAGGGGAAAGGATGCCACATGCCCCTGCGCACCTGTTGCTGGGGGGAGGAACCATGCAGCCCCAGCAATCTCTGGGAGAGAATGATCGCTGTAGAGGACGTCATCTCCAGTTACACCAGGGCTGACAACACTAACAAATCACCTGAGATGTGGGAGCAGTTCCAGCAGGTGTGGATGGAGAGGCATGTGCTGTGCTCAGTTTTGCTGGCTCCTGCTCAGCCTGGTTCTCCTCTCAGCTCACCTCCAGCTGACCTCTCTCCCACACCTCCAACTGCACCTGTCTGGCCTGCCATGCCAGCAGCTCCTGCACTAGACTTGCTGGTTCCCACACCAGCATTGGACTCACTGGCTCCTGCTCAGACTGGTTCTCCTCTCGGCACACCTCTATCTGACCTCTCTCACACATCAGCTGCACCTGGTCTGGGTTCCACGCCAGCTGCTCCTGTCTGGTTTTCCACACCAGCAGCACCAGCTCTGGACCCACTGGTTCCCTCACCAGCTCTGGACCTGCTGAGTTCTGCCTCATCACCTGCCATGCTGAGTTTCGCATCAGCACCGGACTCATTGGTTCCCACACCAGCACTGGACTCTCTGGTTCCCACACCAGCTTTCTCCATGCCGGGTTACGCTCCAGGTTCTCCTATGCTGGGTTCTACCTCAGTACCTGCTACGCTGGGTCCCGCAGCAGCACCTGACCCGCTGGATCCATCAGGAGTGGAACCTCTGTCTCTCTCCACAGACACTGCTCCAGAAGTCTATGCTCCTCTTGAGGTACTTGCTCCTCCTGAGGTACTCGTTCCTCCTGAAGTCCTCGCTCCTCCTGAGGTCCTTGCTTCGCATGCTGCTGCAGAGGTCCTCGCTTAGCCTGCTACTGCTGTCGTTGAAGCTTGTTCATCTGCAGTGATCTCAATGCCTCAGCCAAAAAAGAAGCCAAGCCCCCCTCAGCCAAAGAAGAAGCTGAGCCAGATGCATCCTCCAGAGGTCCTTGCTCATCTAGCTGCAGCTGTCCCAGGGGTCTCTTCACCTGCAGCTGTGGCCTCTCCTGTGGTTGCCCCGTCTGTTGCCATGGTCTCCTTGGGGGTCTCATCCCTCTTCTGCCTGGATCCAGGAGGATACAGGTGGACGCCACCTGTATCCTGCACATGTAAACATAGCTACTGGTTAACTTAAAAAATAGTAATACAATGGAAGCTTTTTCAATGAAAGTTTTCAACAAACAAATAGGCATTTCAGTTTTCCTCTCATGGAAAGGATAAGATAGATGCCAGCGTGTGTATTAAGAGTTTAAACTGCCATGTTGCTAATAAAAATAAATAGAATATTTCTTGTAACCAAAGCATGGCTCATGCTCCTTTAGGGTCTCGTATCTGTCAGAGCTTTAAGGCTCCAACATACTCCATCCAAAGCCGAACTGTCAACTCATGGTCATGTGGTTGTAGGATGTTGGTTTTTGCACACACCTTTTATCATCCATGAGAGAGATGGTGCAGAGCTCCCGGGAAACCCCTCCCCCTGCAATGTATGTCACCTCGGGTTTCTTCTTGCCAGAGTCTCCACTCTGTCCACGCATCTGTCATTTGGCCACAAATCTATCATGAAGAGAGTACCACACTTTTCAGCAGATGGACTCCTCCGTGCATGATGTCTGCACGATCTCCATCCAGGAGGTTTTGACCATTTGACTAATTAAGTGTGTTTGAAAAGTCCTGCAGCTGAATGTCCGAGTGCATTTCGACACTGATGAACACGCCCACAAACTTATGACCAATCACACAATACTTGGCACATACACCTATGAGAAAAAGTTTGGTCAAAGCCTAGTGTTGAGAAGGGGCAGGCAAAGCTACTCTGAGGACAAAATGATGTAATTTTCATCACACAACAGCAACAATGAGAGCTGATTTTGGCACTTGGGATGGAGTTTGCAAAGCACTTTTATTGTTGTGTTTGAATGACAGCTACTCTCTCCTGGCTTCTGGATCTCTGCCATCAACCCACTCAAGTCATTTTTTACCAATCTGTCTGCGTTTTTCATATTTTCTGTTTTAACGTAGAACATTTTCATGCACAACCCTAACCCATCCACCTTCCCATCCACTGTCTGACCTTTGCGTCCCATGCTTGCCCAGTTACACTCCACCATGTTTACCAGTAGTCTCTTTTTTACTTTCCAATAAATCTTCATAACTTTATCTAACTTGTTTGTGCCTTCTATTTAAGTTTATCTTGATCTTCCTGAATTCCCACAGTGATATACTGATTTAACCCCTGTGTCATCTTTTGTGGGAAAAATCAGCCATGTATATTTTTGTCAAAAATAAGGTCCAACCCAAAGTTTAACCATCAATTTTTTTTCTTTACGTACATCACAATGGTTGTTTTGTGTTGGGTTAGAGGATGTTCCAACTGGGCAAACGGTTCGGCAAAGCACAGTTTTTGCCACATTCAAAAAAAATCAGGAAATGCAAAGGTCCTCAAACGGAGAAGATGAAGTAATTCTACCAAATAATGGTTCAAAAAGAATAAAGTTCATGTTTTGGAATGGCCAAGTCAAAGTCCTGACCTTAATCCAGTTCCGATGTTGTGGAAGGACCTGAAGCAGCAGTTAATGTGAGGAAACCCTCCAACATCCCAGAGATGAAGCAGTTCTGTACGGAGGAATGGGCCAAAATTTCTCCAACTTGGTGCTCAGGACTGATCAACAATTACTGGAAATGTTTATATGCAGTTATTATGTCACAGTTTTAATGACACAATTCAAATATTGAATATTGACTTGCGACCCGAGGTACCTGATATCACATGTAATTACAGAGAACCCTATAATTAACAAAATGTTTAATTTGGACAAACTTTGACCAGTGCAGACGTCCAACAACAAACCACTACCCTAATTCATGTTGGGCAACCTGTTTCTCCCATTTGTGTCCCTACAAGTTACACTGTCATTGACTATATGGACACTGAAGTCCCTCAGTAATGCAGCTGAGTTTTGGGATTTAAGATTCAACACTTGTTCAGCACACCTGCAATTATTCTGGATATTCTATACAATGTTTTAGCTTTTTTTATTTTTTTATTTTAGCAAGCTTCCACTGTACCTCATTGGGTTTGTTGAAAGTGCAATGTTTCAGACCTTGTTAAAATGAACTCTGTTCTATTACTTTGTGTTTTTAGAGTACCACTCAAGTGATCAATTTGCAGATTTATCCAAATACATCATGCATGCAGTCATGAGAGCTACATTTATTGAAATATTTATTCAAACATTTTCCTTTTTTTAAAGTAAGCAAATAGCAGTGCTGCATTCCTCAGAAAGTTTTAACTAATGTTGATATTTTTAAATATATTTTGCATATGTTTACATTTTTAGAGGACAGTCAATATGTGATGACACTTCTTCAGAGCTGCAGAGAATGGCGGCCAATGAGAGGAGAGAAATGAATTCCCAAAATTCCTTTAGAGGACGAGGGGCTTTGTCCAGGTATGACAGACAAAGTTTGGCCACATATTCAGAATAATGAATTTTGTTAATTTTTAAATAGTTTTGTTAATTATAAGTGATTTAAAGCTTTAGGGTAAGACAAATGACTCTGGTCAGTTCAGACTTTTAAAGTGATCATCATGTTTGTTTTCAGGATAGTTAGGATGGTGATGACTCTGAGAGAATGGGCTCAGAAGAGCTTGGCTGAGGAGACGGAGCGACCAGATTCCTTTTTGGAGCGTTTCAGAGGCCCAGCCAACATGGATGTCCAGGGCCCACCAAGCAGGTTCAGTCACAGCCACACTGGCTCTGATACAGAGAATGACATGCAACGCTCCAGACGTGGGTGAGAAACATACCACAATCAAAACACGCTTTCTCCAAATAAGCTGACACTCAGATAAATCTATGTTTTTCTGTCAGGAGGAGGAAGTGGAAGGTTTTGGTTTTATCCCCATCTGATGATCTCTACTATCATTGGCTGATAGTGATCGGCACTGCTGTTTTTTACAACTGGACCCTTCTAGTTGTCAGGTGTGAAACTATTTTTCAGATTCAGAGTCAGAGATTTTTATTGTCGTTCGCACCACATGTGGTACATGTGGTGGAGCAAAATTATGTACACAGGATCCCAGTTACATCCAACAATAAAATGTAAATGAAAAACAGTAATAAGATCTGAGATATGAACTAAGTTTATGAACTAAGAAAAACATCAACTAAATATACACTAAGCACTAATAGCATAAAAACAATAAAAACAACACGCTGAACAGCAGCATGAACATGAGTCTGTGTGAGCAGATGAGCATGCATGAACACAGCAACATGAAACAGATCAGCAGCAACATGATGTGATTTTTCACAGTGATTATCCTGGTTAGATATTCATGAGTCTAACAGCCTCAGGGTAATGGTAAATGCTAAATGGACTGTACTTATATAGCACCTTTCTATCTTATTTCAAGATACTCATAGCACTTTAACTACAATCTGTGCCTCATTTACCCATTCATACAGAACTCAACTAGATCTCCACAAAATTAATTGAACAAATCATTCTATAGAGACTAATCAGTGCTTTAGATCACATTCATACACTGATGGGACACACATCAGAGGCTATGAGGGGTTCAGTATCTTGCCCAGGGACACTTTGACATGTGACTGCTGGTGGATTCGAACCCCCAACTCTCGCATTGGAGGATGACTGCTCTAACCACTCAGCCACAGCCGCCCCACAAACCACAGCCACCTAGCTGTTCCTCATTCTAGTGGTTCTTCACTTAATGCTCCTTAATCTCCTTCCTGAGGGGAGCAGGACAAAAAGTGTGTGTGCTGGGTGAGTGGGGTCTTTCATGATGCAGGTGTCCCTCTTCCTGCATCTGGAGGTGTAGATGCCTGTGATGGTGGGGAGACTGACTCCAACAGTCTTCTGTGCAGCCTTCACCACTCTTAGGTCCTCGTTAGGCCCTTAAATGTTTTTTTTTTCTCACAAATTTCAAGTATGTTGTACACAAGGTTGAAGGAGTTCTGAGGATAAGATTAGCCTGGGTTAACATGCATCAAGTGGCTTGGACCACAGTAATAACTGCTTGCAGTTTTAGTTAAATCTTGGTTCTCTTTATACTTTCAATACAGTTTATACATCGAAATATAATCATTTAGTTAGATTAGCATTTGTAGAATAAGTTGCACCTGCCTCCACAAAATTTATTTAACCTTCCTAGCGGGGCGAGATCCCGCACGCACTTATGATGTGAACGGGTCAGTTGTGACCCGTCTTAAATCAGCCAAAAAATGCCCTCAAAACAGTGTTTTTTTAAGAAGTATTAGAACACACCTCTAAAATAAATTTGTCTTATTATTTTGTTATTTTAATATTATTAACCATAGTAACATTTATAGTGTTAAGGGTAAGTTTTGACCCATGTATATTTATGTCAAAAAAAGGAAGAAACATTTCTTTTCAAACATTGAACTTTAATACCAATATAAAATAAAAAGCAGAACAAGTAATAATACAAAATACAGATTCAGAAAGACAAGAAAAAAATCAAAATGAAATAAATACTCTTCTAGTTACAAACATGCTCTTTCTAGTTTCTTTCTGTCTTTCATGCATGCGTATGAACTTGCGTATGAACTTGCGTATGAACTTGCGTTGTGTTCAGATGCATGTGTTGCAAAAAGTGGCAGTTTTCGTATGTTCTTTGCATATGTATTTTCTGCAGTCAAGGCACAATGTGTTTGTTTTCCGGTCTTTATTGCTTGGGCACACCTGACACCTCTTTCGTTTTGAAGCAGGTGGAGTTGTGGGTGTGGTCGATGTTGAAGCCCGGCTGCCTGAAGGGCGTGTTGTCACTGATGCACTTTGTGCAGCTGATGATGTGGTTGGAGTGGTGCTCCGGAGCTGTCTGACAACGTTCGCAGTGGCTGGGTCTCGGGGTATCCGTTCCCTTCTCTCAATGTATGGCTTGATCAACAAATTTCCTAGCTCCTGAAGGAACAATCTCCGCTTGTGGGTTTTTTTGGCGTTCCACCCCAAGTCAATCTGGGTCCACAAGACAAATGCATTGTATGCAGACACATCTAGGATGTTGTAAAATACAACCATTGGCCATCTCCTGGTCATTCGCTGGCAAGTGTAGGTGGCAGTCAGCTTGTCCAGGGTGTCCACTCCTCCTTTGTTTTTATTGTAGTCCAGGATGATTTCAGGCTTTTTGTCACTTCTTGTTGACACAGCTGCATCTTTGTGAAGAGTGGACATAAGTACCACACTCCGGTTCTTTTTGGGACAGTATGAAACAACACTGGTGGTTTCTGTAAAAGCAAATTTTGAAGACAGTGGAGCCCTGTCTTTCACCTGCAAAATTTCAAGGGGCAGCTCAGGTTTGTTTTTTCTTATTGTGCCCACCATGGTAAGTTTCCTCTTGAGAAGTTCTTGTCCAAGATCATAGCTGGTGAAGAAATAGTCACACGTGATATTGTGACCCCGCAGTCCAGTAGTCATATCAAGGATTACCTGTTTTCCTTGATTCTTCTCAGGGATGCCAGCTGCAAGTTTGCCTGTGTAAATCTGTAGATTCCAGGCATAGCTGGTTTTCGCATCACAGGCTGCCCAGATTTTTATGCCATATTTGCCTGGCTTACTGGGCATGTATTGCCGGAAGGGGCATTTTCCACGGAAAGGGAAAAGACGCTCATCCACTGTCACCTCTGGTCCTGGGTTGAACATCAGTGGAAGGAGCTTCACCCATCTATCCCAGACGTCTTTGATGGGAGCAAGCTTATCAGACCGTGCTCTAGTATCTCTGTTGTCAAATCTGAGGACTCTTGAGATCATTTGAAAGGTCTGAAGTGACATTGTTGCGCGGAAAATACTCCTGCCTGTGGACACATCCCAGAGACTAGTAAGGGCCTCATTGCTGGATCTGTACACGCCAGCGAGAAGAAGAACACCAATAAAAGCATCCAGGCACTCCTCATCAATGTCCTTCCAAGTGTCACCGTGAACTTTTTTCCCTTCGAGGTTTGTCATAGCAATGATGACTTTCTTTAGTGACAATGGCATAAACAAATCAAAGCATGTCTTGATGTCACTTACTCGTGTCACAGCAAACCTTGTAATCCCAGGGGTCATCTTCATAACATTTTCAGCAGCTTCCCTGCCATGTGAAACAGGAGGAATCGCACTCCAAGTGATGTTACCCTTTTTGGATTTATAGGTTTCAGTTACAGGAGCAGCTTCAGCACCTGTGCCCTCCTCATCCGACGAGTCTGTGTACTCTGATTCATATTCAATAGCATCGTCCTCCTCAGAAACTGGCTCATCTGTGTCACTAGGTGTGTCCTCTGCATCATTTTCAGCAAGGATGTGATCTAGAGCTTCTTGTACTGTGAATCTTCTCTTCATTTTGGTATGCAGCCAAGCTCTAGGTAAAATGGAGTGTCTGTTTCTACATGTCTCTACATGCCCATGTAGAGACACACCCAGGTGGGTGTGTCTATCTAGGTCTGCCTATCAAGATGGGCATGGCTATCCAGGTAGGCTTATCTCTGCGTGGGCATGCCTCAACATGTCTCTGCATCTACAGCTGGATGAACTTTTTCAGTTTTTGGGAGCAGAGTATGAGGGACTTATCAATAATAGTAGTACGGATAAATGGGGATGTTTTGGTCAGTGAAGTAGGCAAACAGGTAAAAACAGAAGGCCCTAACATATGTATGACAAAGCTAGTGAAGTCACAGTGTGTTTATAATAATAATAATAATAATAATGTCATCACAATGTCAGCACTGTATGTTTCCATACAATGGCGAAATTAGTCTCTGCATTTAACCCATCCACCACCAGGTGGTGTTTATGATTTCAGTTTTGACACTGATTATTGGTTGATAGTCTTATACCATAACTGGGTCACAAATGACCCCAGCGCGGCAAGTGCGTGTTGTTCTATAAAAAATAAAAATTAAATTTAGTGAAAAAAATAATAATTTTAAATAAAGGTTCCAGACAAAGTCAAAAAGCCTTGATGCAAAAAAAATAATTTAAAAGACAGTATCATGATTTAAAATTTAAAATGGGCCACTACGGACCCTAACATAGTAGGAAGGTTAAGATTATTCTTCTATTACTTTTCCTACTGCAAACAACAACAACTTCTGTTAGAGAAAATGTTTGCAAAAGAAGTCTAGTTAACTCCCTGCACTTTCACTTTCAGGTTAAACATGTCACTCACCATTTATCACATGCTGCTGTTACTTTCTTTAGCTCTGTTTGTTTGTTTGTTTTTACTGAAGGGCCTGTTTCGATGAACTCCAGATGTCAAATGTTCTGGTGTGGCTTGTGCTGGACTACATCTGTGATGGAGTCTATATACTGGATACTGCTGTTCGTCTCCACACAGGTACTTTGCACATTGATGTCACTCACTTTTTCAATTACATATTTTTTCTTTTTTCCTATTAATAAAATCCAAGCTCACTGATTTCTGTTTTCATGTTCATTCTGAGTTTCTTACTTTGGTCATTGCAGTCAAGACTTATTTGTGTTAAGGGTTTCTGGATCAGGGCTTGTTGGTGAAAGATGTGCGCCGTCTGAGAGAAACCTACGTCCGAACATTACAGTGTAAACTTGATATCTGCTCCATCCTTCCTACGGACCTCTTGTACCTCACAGTCGGAATGAGTTACACTCCTCTTCTTCGATTCAACCGGCTTCTGCGACTGCCGCGTTTGTTTGAGTTATTCGAACGAACAGAAACTCGTACAAGTTATCCCAATGCCTTCCGCATCTGGAAACTGGTCCTGTATATCCTGGTCATCATCCACTGGAATGCCTGTGGGTACTACAGCTTCTCCAAAGTCCTGGGACTGGGCTCAGACTCATGGGTTTATCCCAATGTATCAGACCCAGAGTTTGGCTCTTTGGCCCGAAGCTACATTTACTGTTTGTACTGGTCCACGCTGACACTGACCACTATTGGAGAGACACCTCCTCCTGTTAGAGATGAGGAATATCTGTTCTTGATTTTTGACTTCCTGGTAAGTTCACCTAACACTGTCTAAATTGACTTTCATGTACAGGCTTTATGCAACTCCAAAGGTTCTCTATATAAACAATTTCTGCTGGTGTTTCTTCATCAGGTTGGTGTTCTGATCTTTGCATCCATTGTTGGTAATGTTGGATCCATGATCTCCAACATGAATGCAACAAGGACTACCTTTCAAACTCGTGTTGATGCTCTCAAACACTATATGCACTTTAGACATGTCAGTAAGGTGCTGGAACAGCGCGTTATACGCTGGTTTGATTATCTCTGGACCAATCAGAAGACAATAGATGAACAGGAAGTGTTGAGGAGTTTGCCTAATAAACTGAGAGCAGAAATTGCTATCAATGTTCATCTGGACACACTGAAAAAGGTAAAGACCCTTAATTTAACTGAGATTAGACTTTTATCATTGTAGATACAGTGCTATGTGTTTGCATAGTTAAAATTAATTATTCTGTTGTAAGCATTTAGTTGTGTTTTGGTAAATATTTCAGTTTAACTTTTGTAAGTTTCTGTAAATGTTTGTGTGGAAATAGGTCCGTATATTCCAGGACTGTGAGGCGGGTCTCCTTGTAGAGTTGGTGTTAAAACTTCGACCTCAAGTTTTCAGTCCTGGTGACTACATCTGCAGAAAGGTTGGTTTGTATTTACAAGTATTAACATAATTAATTATGAAATACCAGTTTGTTGCTACTGTTGTACCACAGTAAAATTAAAGCAATGCCATTTAGCAAAACATTCAGCTGTTTGTTTAGTCAAAATAGCTAGCGCACAAAAGGAGCAAAAGACTAAAAGCTATGTAGCAAAATGCTGTCTGAAAGCTAAATGCGGGATCAATAAAGTTCTATCTTATCTTATCTTAAAAATAGCAGAAAGGTAGCTAAAAGTTAACAGTAGCACAAGAAGAGCAAATATGCTGATGAATATTTTAAAGGAAAATTTTGAAGGAACTAAAAATATCTTCATGTTTTTCTTTGAGAAAAAAATTGTTTATAAAGTTCAAATAAATGTTTTTGAGAAATGCAAAAATTACAAAAACTAAGAAAAGAGAGTTCAATTTCAAAGATTTACAGAAAAATAAAAACAGGAAAACCGTTTAATGTCTGAAATAGCATTCTCATAATTATTTAACAAAAAAAAGTTGTAAGCGCAATCATCCAGGTAGATAACAACAAAAAAGATTAAATTGTGTCATCTGGACCTATTTCTTTAGATGAGAAATGTTTCATCCCTCATCCAGAGGACTTCCTCAGTCTACGGCCTGCCAACCAGATCTGTCCCATTGGTAGCTTTCACTGCTGCATTTCAAGCCAACCTCCTGTCAGAATATCAAAAGTAGGCTTTTAACACATGCAAAACACACTCATCCAAAACAGTCATCATGTACAACAATCAAATGTTTTAGGCCAGATGGTGAACTTGCTACGCACAGAAACAGCCTGAGGACAACCAAGGCCAAAGTGGTTCAAAAAAAGTATTGTAAGCTCAATCATCCAGGTAGATAATAACAAAAAAGGCTCAATTGTGTCATCTGGACCAGTTTCATCAGGACCACATGTCCTGTTCTGAACCACTTTAGCCTTGGTTGTCCTCAGGCTGTTTCTGTGAGTAGCAAGTTGGCCATCTGGCCTAAAATGTTGGATTGTTGTACATGATGATTTGTTGTTATGGATGGGTGTGTTTTGCATGTGTTAAAAGCCTACTTTTGAGATTCCAACAGGAGGTTGGCTTGAAACAAATCAGTGAAGGCTACCTATGGGAAAGATCTGGTTAGCACGCCGTAGACTGAGGAAGTCCTCTGGATGGGGGACAAAACATTTCTCACTTAAATAAACTGGTCCAGATGACACAATTTAACATTTTTTGTTATTATTTAACAAACTGTTTCATTGTTTTTTAGGGCGATGTAGGAAAGGAGATGTACATAATTAAAGATGGCCATCTGGCAGTGGTGGGAGACGATGGAGTAGCCCAGCTAGCCGTTTTGACCGCAGGAAGCTGTTTTGGAGAAATTAGTATCCTGAACATCAGTGGCAGTAAGATGGGGAACAGACGCACAGCAAATATCCGGAGTCTGGGATACTCGGACCTGTTCTGCCTTTCCAAACAGGATCTCATGGAAGCACTGCTAGAGTTTCCCCATGCCAGGGCTCAGTTGGAGCAGCGAGGGCGAGACATCCTGCAGAAAGAGGGGCTCCTGGAGGAGGCAAATGTGTCTGCTGGGGAAGAGATGGAGGAGAAAATGGAGAGACTGGAAACCAGTCTGGATCGGCTGCAGGTCAGTGCTGCTCATTCAGTTTCTCCAATTAGGTTTTTAATGGCATGTCTGTCATGAGCAGTACCAACTAGATATACTGTACTTGGGCTCACCTCTATGCACAGTTTGGGCTCTGGAACCCAACTCCTGGAGAGAGGTTGGACTCTCTCCTACTCCTGAGTTGCCTAGGGAGAGAGGCATCAGTCAGGTGTGGGGATACTCACAAGCCCCCAGCTGAATGCCTCAGTGTTGGAGTTTTCCTTGTTGAATGAGAGAGTCGCCTCTCTGTAGCTTCGGGCTGCAGGAGGGAAGGTTCTGACTGTTGTTTGTGCATATGCACCAAACATCAGTGCAAATTGCCCAGCCTTTCTTGAGTGTCTGGATGGTTGGCAAGGATTCCATCTGGGGATTCCCTCATTATATTGGGTGACTTCAGTGCTCATGCAGGCAATGACTGGAGTAATCGGGAGGGGGTGATTGGGAGGAATGACCTCCTTGAGCTGAACCCAAATGGTGTTTGTATATTGGACTTCTGTGCTAGGCATGGGTTGTCCATAATGTTCACATTGTTTGAGCATAGGGTGGTTCATAAGTGTACTTGGTACAATGCCACCTTAGGCCAAAAGTCAGTGATCAATTTTGTAATTGTTGTTGAACCTGCGGCCCAATGTCTTGAACACTCAGATGAAGAGAGGGGCAAAACTGTCAACTGATCACCACCTGGTGGTGAGTTGTAGCCAGTGGCAGGGGAGGCTATCAGACAGACCTGGTAAAACCAAATGAATAGTGAGGGTGAATTGGAAATGTCTGGTGGAACACAGTCCGTGTGGATTTCAACTCACACCTCCGGTAGAGTTTTTCACGTTCTGGCAGAGGTCTTGGACATGGAATCACAATGGGCCATGTTCAAGGCCTTTATTGCAGATGCAACTTACAGGAGCTGTAGCTTGAAGGTCACTGGTACCTGTCGGGGCGACAACCAAAGGACCCGCTGGTGGACAGCAGCGGTGATGGAGGCTGTCAAGCTGAAGGAGGAGGTCTTCAGGACTTATTGTTTCAAAGGACTTTTGAAGCAGCTATGGGTACAGGGTGTCCAGAAAGACGGCAGCTTTGGTGGTTGCAGAAGCAAAAACATAGGCATGTTAGGAATTTAGGGAGGCCATGAAGAAGAATTTTCAGTCAGCCTTGAGGAAGTTTTGGCAAACAGTTTGGTTACTCAGGAAAGAAAACCAGACTTTCTCCCAGGCTGTGCTGGTTTGGGTGGGGAACTGCTGACCCATACTGAGGATATGGCATGAGCAGAGGTCATTGAAGTAGTTAAAAAGCTCCTCGATGACAGGGCACCAGGGGTGGATGAGATTTGCACTGAGATGCTAAAGGCTATGGATATTTTGGGGCTGTCATGGTTGGCACATCTCTTCAATGTCACATGGAGGACTGGTACAATGCCTGTGGAGTGGCAGACAGAGGTAGTAGTTCCCATTTTAAAAAATGGGGACTGGAGAGTGTGATGCAACTATCCTAAAATCACACTTCTCACTCTTACCAGGAAATTTTAATCCAGTGTGTTGGAAGGGAGGCTCCAACCAATTATCAAACCTTGGCTTCAGGAGGAGCAGTATGGCTTCAGTCCTGGTCGTGGAACAGTAGACCAGATATTTATTGAGTTGAAAGGTAATGCTCTCAATTTAATGATCTGTCTACGTTCAGACCCTCACCTATGATCATGAGGTTTGGGTCATGACCAAAAGAACGAGCTACCAGATATAAGAGGCCAAAATGGGCTTCCTTTGTAAAGTGACTGGGCTCAGACTTAGAGATAGGGTAATGAATTCCATCATCAGAGGGAGTTTGGAGTAGAGCCACTGCTCCTCCACATGAGAAGGAGTCAGTTGAGGTGGTTTGTTCTTCTGATTAAGATGCCTCCAGGATGCCTCTCTTTAGAGGTTTTCCAGGCACTCATAGGAGGCTCTGGGGAAGACCCACAAGTCAGTGGAGGGATGGTGTATCTTCTTTCGCCTGGGAATGCCTCTGGGTCCCCCAAAATGAGCTGAAATGTGTTGTTGTGGAGGGGGATGTCTGATGTCTGGGTTTCTCTCCTGAACCTGTTGCCTTCATGGCCCAACTACAGATAAGAGGTAGAAGATGGATGGATGGATAGATAGATGGATGAATAGACAGATGAATGGATGAACCATGGATGGATGGACAAATGGAAGGACAGATGTATGGACGGATGGATGTATGTTGATTATGAGTAAAACATTTTGATTGTGTCTGACATGTTGATGGTAACTGTCCTCATTACTTCTCTCAGACCTGTTTGGCTCGTCTGCAGAGTGAGTACAACTCGACGCAGCTTCGACTGAAACAGCGACTCACTGCTCTTGAACAGAACATTCCAACCGTAGTGTCGGGCAGCGGTTTCCTGTCGGATGCTGATGGCACTGAGAGTGTCGGCTGTGATGTTGTACGAAGTGAAGTCAACATCAAACTCTAAGTCTATTCTTGTTGTACACAGTTTTAGTTTGTTTCAGATCCATTTTACTGTCAGCATTGCAGTTATTTGTATTTTACATTTCAAACCTTAGACTAGAAAGTTTCTAAAGACATTTTGAAGGGAGTCAATGCAGCTATCGTTAAAATTTCAACAAATAAACTTTCTTTTATAATTACTTTGTATAACAGCAGTTTGGACTTGGCTTTAGAAATTTTTTAAGATGTTAACCAGACACCTGAGTCTATTACTCCCTGATGGCACTATTAATAAGACAGGCAGACAGTAGTGTTATGACCTAGTTCATTGGGTTGCAACATAAAGAAAAGGCTGAAAATGTTAGTGAGAGAATAACATTTTTATTAAAAAATATGGTAAATGGACTGTACTTGTATGGCACTTTTCTATCCGATACTCAAAGCGCTTTACACTACAATCTGTGCCCTCATTTACCCATTCATACAGCACTCTACTTTATCTGTACAAATACTACTCAGTGCTTGATCACATTCATATGGGACACACATCGGAGGCAATGAGGGGTTCAGTGTCTTGCCCAGTGACACTTCGGCATGTGACTGCTGGTGGAATCGAACCCCCAACTCTTGTGTTGGAGGACGACTGCTCTAACCACTCAGCCACAGCGCCCCCAATACAACTACATATTTTAAAATGTTTCTCTAAACCAGCCCAACCACTTAGCCACAGGTGTATTCTACCTCAAACCACACTATTGAAGCCATAAATGTACATGTTCACAGATGAAGCCAGTCAAGACAATCAAGCAGAGCCAGACATTTACACAATCACTGTTGGACCAGGAAGGACACACCAAGAAAGTAAGACAACAAAATGTGAAAACTTCTGAAAAGTTTTAACATCTCAAATGAGCCTTAAGTGTGTTCAGCCTAAACTTAACAAATCACAAATCTCTGAATGATTAAAACTCTCAAAGATTAAGTTCAGTCATGTACAGTCTGACTTTGTGCGACTTTAAACTGTTAATGTTTCTGTAAAGGGTGTCAGCTGTCCATGTTGCCTCGCTGTCAATGGTTCTATTTGTTTGCACTGTTAAATGTACAGCTTTAAATCATGAGCCCTGTCTTTGTTTTCACTTTTTAAAACAAACCACCTGCTGTTAAAGGTGTCTGTGTGTGCGTTAAAGGCAGTGTAATTCCTATAATGTGGTAACTCTGTAACTAGTGGTGTTAGCAGGTGGTTTAGGACCAAAGTCCATCACTACGAGAGATCAGGAAGTAACTTCAGGAAGACTGAGTTAAAACGGTAAAAATGTTTCATTCTTCTCTCTGCTTTCTGTTTTACATCTTCTTTTTTTAGATTCTATATTTTTTCTTTTTAGAGAAGTCCGTGTTCGTTCTCCGTGCTCTCGTCCCTTTCCTGTCTGAGCTGTAATACAATAAACAATGATTAAACCTGTCCTTCTGTATCCTGCCTCAAATTGTTCTTTTTAAATATATTTTGTGATTGTGTTTAGTAGTGTGTCTTTGTGTTTGAACATTCTCTGAATGCTGTAGAATAATCATTCAGCATGTATTTTAGTGATGGAGAACAGTTTAAAACATATTTATCGTGTGATTTAGTGATTTAGAACAGTTTAATCATAATTTATTGTGTGTTTTAGTTACAGAATACAGTGTAATCCTCATTTATTGTGTATTTTAAGATGCAGAACAGTTTTGTGACGATGTGCATGATGCTGGTGGCTCCTGTGTTTGCTGCTGAGCAGGTGAGATTGTCACCTGTACAGAAAAACAAATCCAAACACATACCGACATCAATTTATCTTACATACAGTTTTGTAGTAATCACCTGCCCCACAAAGAAGGGTGAGCCACAGTGGTTTTTGAACATTTCTGTCTGCAAGCAAAATATCTCGTTAAACGGTTGAAAGATTTTACTGAGACTCTCAGAAATTAATCATTACCTGCACATCTTTAGATGATTAATTTGAAAATCAACTTGATTCAAAATGGTCACTGCTGCTAATCCACCTTTGCGAACACAAAATAGCTCATATTCCGTCTGTTTTACAGATAATAAGCCAAAGTTCAGATTACTTATAGCCAGACATCACTTTTCTTTTCACTGTTATGCAGATGACTTAAAGATTTATTTACCCATGAAGACTAAACTTAAATTCAAACTACTTTTCTAGAATGTAATGCCAAAATGAAACAGTGGCTTCACCATATTTTCTGTTTTTAAATGAAGGAAAGACAGTTTTTTTGTTTTTTTTTGGTGATGATACTCCTTGTAACTTTTGTGCTCTGACATCAGAGTTCAGACCCACAGTTAAGAACTTGGAAGTGTTTTTTGACAAGTATTTGAAGTTCGATACCTTCATTAGTCATCAGTTAGGTCTTTTAATCAAAGTTAAGCTTTTTTTTTTTTTATCGTCCTGGAAAAGGCCATTCATGCTTTTGTCATCTCAAAACTTGACTAGTGTAGTGCTCTGTATGTAGGAATCTCCCAGTCCTCCATCAGATGTCTTCAACTGGTCCAAAACACTGTGGCTCATCTTTTAACCAACAGCCCCAGACGTGAGCGCATCGCCTGTTTTATTTTCTGTTCTTCGCATCCAGTCCATTTTAGAATTGATTTTATTTACTTTTAAAGCTCTGAACTGTCTCGTCCTACCTTATTTAGTGGATCTAGTATATTTCAGTGAGCATGAAAGAACCTTAGGATCAACTAATACATCTTTGCTGTTTGCCCCACCATCCAAATTTCAACATTGTGATGATCAGGACTTTTGGATCGCTGATCCAGGGTGTGGAACCAACTACCTCAGGACCTAACTCCATCACTGACCTGGACCTTTTTAAATCTAATCTTAAAACCTTTTGATTTAGGCAGGCTTTTAATTAATACCTTTTGGCTCTCTGGCATTTTAGTATTGTTTTTATTGTTTTTAACTTGTGTACTGTGAAGCACTTTGAGCACCTTTCGGCTGCTGTAAAGGGCGCTATAAATCAAGGTTGATTGATTGATTGAAAGTTCAGTATGATAGAAGCTGAGACACAGCCCCAACGCACCCCCTGAACTCTAACTGCTTCAAATGTTAAATGGACTGTATTTATATAGCACCTTTCTATCTAATCAAGATACTTAAAGTGCTTTACAACACAACCTGTGCCCTCATTTACACATCCACACAGCACTCTATTACAAAGCTAATCTGAATCTGTAGAGACTAATCTATTAGCTTTTTAGATCACATTTGTACACCAATGGGACACACATCAGAGGCAGAGAGGTTCAGTGTCTTACCCAGGGACATTTAAACATGTGACTGCTGGTAGAATTGAACCCCCAACTCTCCCATTGGGGGATGACTGCTCTAACCACTCAGCCACAGCTGCCCCTGTTACTATTAACTGTTGGGATCAACCTTGTCTGTCTGTTAGCAAAGTGTCAGAAGAACCACTGGCTGGAGTTAAATGATACTTTCATAAAGTCATAACTTTATCTATATGTAAAATTTAATAACCTTTGAAGTTAGCTTGATTCAATATGGTCACCACAGTCAACAGACATTGGAAAACATGAAAAGTATTAAGGCATAACAAATGTTTCCAAATACTGAGCTAAATATTGCTGTGGTAGTAGCTGAGAGTCATCCCAAACACATACCAGGAGTTACACACAATGTACATGTACATTGTACAAGATATGTGCTTAAAGCTTTGGTATTAACAGTTGGAATCCACCTTGTCTGTCTGTCACCAAAATCTTTCATGAACCCCTGGACAGATTTTATTGAAACACTCAGAAACTGGATGTAAATAAATAAATAAATAAATCTATCTATCTATCTATCTATCTATCTATCTATCTATCTATCTATCTATCTATCTATCTATCTATCTATCTATCTATCTATCTATCTATCTATCTATCTATCTATCTATCTATCTATC